CCCCCCCCCCCCCCCCCAAAGTCCAACCCGTTACCCTTTTGAAGGGTACCCCTTTCGTATTCCTTTAATTGAATAAGGTACCCCCTTTCACATACTTCCAAAACTGGCCCGTATCATAAATAAATCGGCAATAAGGAAGTTTTCTTGTCATTTTCATGTAGTCCGCAATATATTTAAATGAAACAGCCATGAGGTGCGTCTGTTCGAAATATCTAAATAAAGGCCCTTTAAAATAGCCAAATTATAGATTTACCTACCCTTTCATATACCTCAATTTGTGAAACTCCTCCCCTTTTATATACCTGATGCCCGAAAACGGTACCCCTTTCGGACGGAGCCTCCCCATTATAGGGAGTACTCCCCCCCCCCGGGTCCAAAACCAGTGATACAGTAAAAACCCGCGTGTAAGAACCTACTTAGGCTAAGTAGGTTCTTAATTTCTACAGAGCAGACATTGTTGTTGATTATCAGAAAATAGTATAAAATCTGGTCTGTTCTTCGTTATAAATAATAAATAGCTCTGTGTTACTGGTTAAAGTTATATTAAAACAATGATCAAACTGCAAGAGGATACATGCATGGAGCATTTGANTTAATTTCTACAGAGCAGACATTGTTGTTGATTATCAGAAAATAGTATAAAATCTGGTCTGTTCTTCGTTATAAATAATAAATAGCTCTGTGTTACTGGTTAAAGTTATATTAAAACAATGATCAAACTGCAAGAGGATACATGCATGGAGCATTTGAACCAAGGCCAAGATTACATTGAAATGATACATTCTGTAAATTGTAGCAATAATTGTTTCATAATAACAGTTCAAATTTAACATACATTGTGCATTTTGAGTTTCATTTCACAATTCAATTTTCTAAACTCTCGATCACCTTTTTGGTTTTTGGTAAAAAAAAATATATAAATAAAATAGTTAAACCCCACATATAAGAACCTGTTGGAATTTGTTTGGCTAAACAGGTTCTTATATTTTGGGGTATTAAAAAAGCAAATTTCTGCTTGAAGGTTCTTAAATCCCTAGGTTCTTACACGCGGGTTTTTACTGTAACGTTAACATATCTGCTGAACAAGCTCTAGGAAACACGTTTCCTGTTTGGCGTTTGGTGTAAAAAATAGCCTGAACTGATATCGTCATTGCTGCCAAGATAAACGTTAAATATTGTCATTATCTGATAGAACTTCTCGTAAGTGCAGTTTTTAAACAAAAGAAACCACGCTACTCAAACACCGCGAAAGCGCTGTAGAACATCTTTTTATTGAGTGTATCAAACAGATTACGAACAGCTCCTTGAAGCCCAGCAATCAAAACTATAATATCCACTTGTACATCTTGTTCTGAGTTATTGTTATCTTACAGGAACTTTCAAAGGTAACAGTAGCAACTTAGAACCATTACGCATGAACGTTATAAATTTTTATTCAACTACTCTACATCATACAGAGAATCCATTGTTTGGAATCTTTTAGAACCATCCGCTATCAGCGCCAGAGATTATGCTAAAAGGACAAAAAAGTCTCCCGCCTTCAGGTACTTGAACTTTAGTGAAGAGTCACCGAAAATGGGTCCCCAAATTGACAGTGATTTCGTCTTTTATTGATTGTATTCGTATCTTTTATTATCCTAGTAACACTTTTTACACGGCCCCATAAGCTATATTAGCTTTAAAACCCACCGTGTTTTTAGATTTAAAAGATGTTGTTGTTGTTTATACTACTATATACTCCGAGCTTATTTTCGTATAAAAGCCTGGCTTTTTCGGGGGCTTTGTTTTACAAGTGAGTTACCATCGGAAGGTTTTAAACTTGATTGGGGCTATTTTTGGAAGGAAGGTAGCGTCAGTGTGAGACACCTTAGCTACACAATGTCGACACATAACGCCATGAACCGAACAAAACTCTATAGTCATCAGATGAACATCAAACGTCCCTGAAATATTATGATGACATTAAGTTTCGGACGGAATCCTATTGTTCTTAGCATTAGTTTCTAACGCTTTACAGAAGTTATACTTTGATGAATCAATACTTCTACTCTTTATCAAGTGATACGTCAATTATGGTATCACACAAATGCCCAAGGCAATCATTGGTGAACAAGTTGTGCCAGTGTTCATCCTTTTTCATCATCATCATCATCATCATCAGTCCTCATCGCGCCATCGGACTCATAAGGCCTTACGTTCATCCTTTTTACGTAACAACTAATCATAGCAGTCATAGCAGCAGTTTAACCCGTTTAAAACACCTTTAACTTTACCTTCGAGGGCTTAAAACTTTCCTTACCCCCCCCCCCTTTTTTTTATTGTGGAATTGAAATAAGCGTGATAAGATACAACTTTTTGCAAAGTTTAAAAAACTCTCGAGATTACTCGCGTAATAATATTTGACGAAGAGCAGTGGTACTGATCCCACGAAGTGTAATTGCTAAAAGATGCCTTAATTTCAGTTCTAAGGATTTGGTGTCACTTCAAGATTGTGTTCTCGGGTGGATAATTTCCTTTATTCTCCTAGCCTGCGTGCTTGAGTACATTGGCATTGCCATATTTACATTGTCCGGACTAGCAAGGGTTACCATGCTTGTCTTCGTCTTCGTCTTCTAGATGAGCTTCTTCTTCTATCGCTGTTAGCGCCGCCCCCTGCAGCCACTGAGGTCGGACTGATGCTCGCTGCTGACACTGTAGTCGGGTTCACTGTCGCACTTTCTGTATTGGTGTGTGCGATATCTAAAAGAAGTCAAGACAGCCCTTCAGTGGAGAGCATCTACTCAAAGACGTTTCTCAGAACCACGATAATCCCAGCAGTGCAAACGTGTGTCTCGTTCCGATTAACCGTAAGCTTAATGAAACACGTCCTTTTTGGCAAAGCAAACGTTATAGGTTAATCAGTCTTTGACTGCATCATAAAAAAAAAAATCAAAAGAGCTGTGTCGTAATTGAGCTAAGTCCTTTTTTCTAATGGAAAATTCACTTCCTAATTACAGTAACCCAAGCAAGAGAGAGGTGAGAATTGTGGAAATTTAAGACAGGTTACAGAGAACGAATGGGAAAATTCAGGCTGCAGTTTTTAAAAATGTACCATCCATGGCGTATCCTAACTCGTGTCCATTATACGAGTCTTCCATAATAAAAACACGATAGGAAGCCTCAGCTAAAACGACACTGGTCATTTCATTTAAACATGTACCAGTTCTTCGGGCTTAAGGGAGGCTCAAAGCATTCATAAGCAGGACTTGTGACGTCAGTATGGTGTCGTACTGATTACGTCATGATGCTTAGCAACTTCTCTGCCAACCCTCGAGCACGTCCTCTGGACGTTCCGAAGGAATGTATGTTTGTTGTTGTTCTTGCCAGACTAAACAGTTACTCAGAGAGGAACTTCGTTTATATTTAGCGGTGCAGTAATCTTAACTCCGCAACCTTCTGTTCATGAGCGCTAGAGTCTTCTCTTTAGAGAAAAGTAATCTAATTTGAAAGATTACACACTTACTTGATGTCACTTACTTGAGCTCGATAAACTTGATGGCCAGCTCAATGACACCTCCCCTTTTGCCTTGGCCATTTTAATCTGGGCCCAAGTCAATAAACTGTAGGTGTCATGTACGGTATGGCATTCTCCTTGCGAGCGCTTCATGTTGTGCAGTGCGGTGATGTGTGTGTCTGAAAGGGATATCTTCCACATCTGTAAACAAGTAATTCGTCCATCAAAGCGATTTTTCGTCTGTTGCGGATCCTTCCCCTCCTGCTCTCCGATCAGAACCTTTCCTCGCGCAATTTTCTGGCCTGTAAATGATCCCGTCCCTACGGATTTAATTGCATCAAACCAAAGGGCAGAATCTCCGCTGGAGCTTTGCCACACAAACGCGACGAAATTCCATTCGGACTCGCTTAGTCTAAAAACTGCTTCTCCTAACCTGAAAATAAAGAGGTCATAACTTACCTGAGAGTTTGCTCATTCGATTGCACCGAGCAAAGAATGCTCTTATTTCTGCGTATACAATGGTCCCTAGCTGGTCTATATAACTTTGCAGTCACGTGGCCGAGGCCTGACAAAAAAAAGCTCCTGGTCCGCCCAGCCTGGTGAATAGGCCCCATTCCCGTTAACAAATCATTGATTGCTAAACAATAATCTCAAATAATGTTCATCATCATCATCATCATCATCAGTCCTCATCGCGCCATCGGACTCATAAGGCCTTACGTTCATCCTTTTTACGTAACAACTAATCATAGCAGTCATAGCAGCAGTTTAACCCGTTTAAAACACCTTTAACTTTACCTTCGAGGGCTTAAAACTTTCCTTACCCCCCCCCCCTTTTTTTTATTGTGGAATTGAAATAAGCGTGATAAGATACAACTTTTTGCAAAGTTTAAAAAACTCTCGAGATTACTCGCGTAATAATATTTGACGAAGAGCAGTGGTACTGATCCCACGAAGTGTAATTGCTAAAAGATGCCTTAATTTCAGTTCTAAGGATTTGGTGTCACTTCAAGATTGTGTTCTCGGGTGGATAATTTCCTTTATTCTCCTAGCCTGCGTGCTTGAGTACATTGGCATTGCCATATTTACATTGTCCGGACTAGCAAGGGTTACCATGCTTGTCTTCGTCTTCGTCTTCTAGATGAGCTTCTTCTTCTATCGCTGTTAGCGCCGCCCCCTGCAGCCACTGAGGTCGGACTGATGCTCGCTGCTGACACTGTAGTCGGGTTCACTGTCGCACTTTCTGTATTGGTGTGTGCGATATCTAAAAGAAGTCAAGACAGCCCTTCAGTGGAGAGCATCTACTCAAAGACGTTTCTCAGAACCACGATAATCCCAGCAGTGCAAACGTGTGTCTCGTTCCGATTAACCGTAAGCTTAATGAAACACGTCCTTTTTGGCAAAGCAAACGTTATAGGTTAATCAGTCTTTGACTGCATCATAAAAAAAAAAATCAAAAGAGCTGTGTCGTAATTGAGCTAA